GAAATTTTTTTTTTTTTTTTTTTTTTTTGTAAGAACTAGAAAAAACAGCTTTTTAATACCATGGATACAATAACAAATATAAAATAGCACACTGTATTTTGGACAATAGTTGTTTTTGTTTCCATACAAGAGGATCCAGGAAGCACAACCACTGCATGTTAAGCCAATGTTTCAAATTTGCATATTATATGTTGCATAACCCAGGTGTTAAATCACCAATCAGGCAACAAGTGTATTATGAAATATTATTGTAACCCAAATAATGTACTACTGCATGCTATTATTATAGTTTGACCCGCTGAAAAACTAGCTGTTTGACTCATTGTGTACATATGAAATTCCTATCTGTTCTGTGATCTTCCAGATAATGACCCCTTAGCCAGGTTAGGCCCCACTATGAAGGTTTTAGAAGGTTGTGGGCTCTTGTGTACATTTGTTTGTATTTTAGACATCACCATTGAAACAGTGTCAGCCTGTTGGCGAGTGATTCATTGTGGGCAAGAGGGGAAGCGAAGAGACATCAACCGAAAGGGAAAAACTCAAGAAACATGTGACTGAATCAAAGAAGGGAGTGTTTTGCTGATGTACTTGTGAAAGAGACCCACTGAGTTAACTATGCACGTTAGAATGAGACTTTGAGCAGGTCGTAAATAAACTAAGACATGTGGCTGATTCATAACATGTCAATTACATAATGTAAACTCCCATTTGTACAAGAGTCCTCTTTTGGAAGGCCAATCAAAGTAGTTTCGCTTTCACAACGAAACACACAGCACCTTCACGACATGGCAACAACAATACTACAGTGAGAATAAAAGTTGCGCCTTCTTTCTTTGCGTGAACATTTGGGTGGCGTTATGCAAATCTTCCCACATCGTGACGTAGACATGTGGGGGCGTGTTAGAACGAGCCATTTTAGGTAGGCGTGGTTGACTCTTAAATTTTATATAGACTATCTCTTTGGATTTGAGACTTTAGTCTTTGCAACTTTACAGATCTTCTTGCTTGTAACACTCCAAAGAGAAAGGAAAAATTGAAATCGCACATGACCCCTTTAAAATGGCCTGAAAACATGATCTGTGTGAGTTTTTAGTGAGAAATTAGCTTGCTGAAATTTAAAGTAAATATCTTTGTCTGTGACCAATATTTACTGAGCTTTGATGACTGATGAACCGAATAATTCAAAAATAGTTAAAAGTTAACTTAAAAAGAATAGCTGAACATAAGTTCACTAATAAAATATATTGTTTAAATTACTGCCTTGAGTTATTATTTTGGAATAAATGTAAAATGCTTAAAAACTCTAACTTGATGAGATTCATACTTGGCTTTAATAAACAGATTATTGATTACATTGTTAATGTAAAAATATATATTTTTAAAATTCTTTTTCTGGTAGTGTAAGTGTTTATTGTAATGTTTATTTAACAAAAAAATGGGACTGGGACTTGAATTTACATTTGATAAAAAAAAACAAACAACCTTTGCCTCCATTCCAGAATACCACTGCACACCACTGATTGATAGATAGATAGATAGATAGATATACAATCCGATAACATTTCTGTTAGCGAATGTTTAAGAATATTTGCATCTACTCGTAACTAGTCTTGATTATGATCAGTTTTTTTCATTTAATCTGAAACCTGCGCTGTCAGCATGTTTTCTTGTGAGAGTTGACACCCAGACCAGTAAATCATGTTGGAGTGTATTCAACAAAGAATACCAGACAATGCACTGCTTCACTGTTAATGTCTGTTTATTAAGACCGAACTTTATTTAAGCCTTTAATCTTTATCAAAAACTATTACTACAATGACTGACTGATAACAATAATTCAAGCTTATTTGTATTGGTCTCCCAAATGGATGGAAAAATGTGAAAAAAACTAAGAGACATGTTATGAAATTACATTAAGCCAGAGTGGAGAAACTTTATACCTGCAGGTCTACACTGCAAGTGCCAATAGTTATATAAATCAGTTTTACTTTTTGAGAAGATATGTATTTACATGTCTGCACAGACATTGCTCATGTACATACATTCTTTATAAATTGAAGAACAAGAAAAGACCTAGGCAGAAAATGCTTTACATTCCTGGGATAACCTTAACAACACAGTGAGACTGACATAAAATAGGCACTGTTTCAGTAGCTTACTTTTTGCAATAGTCTTAATTAATTTCAGCAAACAAAGAGTTTTTTGCATAACCACATTTTTTTTTAAATGAACCCTTGACTCTTATGAATATTTGGCTGAGTGTGAAATTGTATTATATTTACAGCTGCAACAAATTGTATGTTATATTCATAGGCAGAATGAAGGATAATTCAGAAATACTGAATTTATATAAACATCTATATTTGAACACTGACTTTATTTTTTATGTCATGTTGGGTATTTTGCTGACATTAGTTTTTTTTATTTATTTATTGGCATCGCCCGATGTTGTATAGGCCTATTTAACTTAGCATACTAATTTCCTCCATTTTTACATTTAGATTAACTTTGCCATCACCTAATCCTCACTTGCATTCATATTTTGGAAATACTAAACATTTAATAACACTGTTAAATGTACTCTTTGCCAATCTCAATGTATCTATTTTCCATATTGTATATAATAATGTTGTTATACCTAAATTCAATTCAACTTTAGCTATTAAAATGACTGACAAAATAGAGTAGAATTTAAAAGTAAGGTTTTTTTTCAGTTATTGGCCATAATATGGAAATAATTATAGGTTTATTGGTATCAGCCATAATATTGGTGCTTTCTTAATCCTGACATGCTGTACATAATCACTCTGCAACATCCAATTTTTCTCAATTAATATCCAACACTAATGTGACACTGAATATTCCGTGAAGGGTCCAACGTTTGTCGATCTAAAGACCACCAACAGATTTGAGATATTTTTGATCTCGGGCCTACATGGTAATCATGCTAGATTTATTCCCATTTCTGCCACTGATCAATTACTAACAACACCCTCTCTGCAATCCCCCAAAAAAGAACTTTGTGTTTCAACAAGTGCAAAATTAAAGTGTCTTCACACTCAACCATATGTAGGAAATTATGAAATATGACAGAACGCACATGTCTGTTCATGGTGTGGTTTACCTGGGCCTCACCCACAAAAATAATCAGTGCAGGTACATGGATTTACAAGGATTGATAATTTAATAATTTAAAGTTGTGCAATGTTTTAAGACCATGGTGGCACTGTAAGAAGACATCCTGAACCAATCCCTAACCAAAGTCCTAATTGATAACAAAGGAACAAATCTGTGCACCCAAGACACTGAACCATCACATTTCAAAGATCATAGTAGACTTATACTTTAATAAAATACTTATAATACTTATAGCTTTAAGAACGTTTATTTAAAAAACTGCCATCATTTTCACACAGCTGTCAAAACTAAACTCCATGTTCAAACAAGTTATATAATTCTCATTTGTTTTAATGTTTACTTCAAAAGTCTTTCAAATTGGCTGAGTATGTAGAGTTCGAATCTCTATCAGATTAAAGTGCGAGCAACGTTTAAGAATAAAAATAGCTTTCAGCTCTCTCGTAGAGAGTTTCTACAAGTTTCTGCACTGTCAACGTTCATCTGCTCGTTCACACTTTGTGACTGGTCTTTTTGAAAGTTGAGACTCCTGCGCTTGTTCTTACCTTTACGTTTGTGTTACTTGCAGTCGCCGGTAAAGAAACTTTTTTCCGTTCCGAAAAAGTCGGTTATTTTCACCCCGTTCAGCGAACGCATCCGCGGTACATTCCTGGTGTCGGCGAAACCCCACCCAAAGCTATTCAGCTTCAAGGCGAAAACCAGCCCTGGCGAAACCTGTTCGCGTTCGGCCGAGTCCTGCCCGCCCGAGCGTCTCAGCCCCGCTAAGATAACAGCACTCGGTTCGTGATGAACGTCGAACGACTCAACCCTTTGAATTTCACTTGTGAAACTCCTCCCAACCATCGCCGGCGTCACCGCTCACCTACAGGAGACAATTGCTACAAAAACTGACAACGATAAAGCCGAATACACTGCAGAGAAAGAAGAAGGCTTTTACAGCAGGGCATGACCGGCAAATCATGTACAAATGTGCTCCGTGGAGTTCCACGAACGCACTCCATATCCCAGCTCACCCTTCTCTTCCTCTTTCCTCAGCGAGCAGACAGACAGATGGTGGATTGTTACTCATAGGACAAAGGCGCACCCAGGTCATGATCACACTGTTGAGTTTTTTATATGTACAGATGGTATAGAAGATACATTATTCATTAATAGTTAATGTTTTAAAACTCTCTATTTCTATAGAATAACGTGTCTCTAAAGACCACATCAAAACAAGTGGCTGTGCACATATGTGTAAACAACAACTTTACCAACTAGAGCCATCTTAAAATCATATTAAAAGTTATTCATATTATGTTTTGGCACTCAAATTTCCTCAGTGAATTATTCAAAATAATATCACAAAATTAAACTTATGAATCCTATATATTAAAGAAATCACATTTTCAGAGCGTAAAGGTCACCCATTTGAAAGGGCCCACATATCAACATTTCAAAATAAACAGACTTCAGGTTAATATATGTTAGTTGCAAATGAATTTTTAAGTGAGACCAAAGTACAATTTGTTATGCTTTCTGTGGTGTCAAGACATACCAAGAGCAATACACTACATATTTTATGAGGCTGTAATGATTATTGGTTACTTTATTGCAATTTGTAAAAGTAAGAGCACAATACACATGCATGCAGGCATGTGAAGTAAACACAGTAGTGAACACACACACACCCGGAGCAGTGGGCAGCCATGTGCTGCGGCGCCTGGGGAGCAGTTGGGGGTTCGATGCCTTGCTCAAGGTTCTCACCTCAGTCGTGGTATTGAAGGTTACGTTTCATCAGTCAAAACGTTTCTGCTTTTTATTCAGCTCAGCTACAGCAGATATAGGTTTGCCTACAACGATAACTGGATGCTTTTGTCCATATTAGGGCTTTCCTGGCACGCCACAAGCTCTTACTTCTATGAGGCCGTTTTGGACTTTCTGCGAGAGAGCGTCCTCTGGCTTCCGAGTATGAATGAGAGTGTTCAGCGCTCCATGATGTTCACATCGTCTCATTCTGGATACAAATAAAATGTCAGGTCATGCATAGACTATCCTGTCTCTTCATTTAAATCTAGATTTATTTACACTGGCCCGTGAAACCCTCTACGTGAACACACCTGCCCGAATAAACCGCGGGGGACGAATTTACATTTTATTCAAATTAAATATTTAATAAATATTCAAAATGCAGCTAACGTAGTTCTACACACAGCAATATAAACAAAGGTGCCTGTTCTCTTTTGTTCTTGCTTTTTGATTGAGAAAATTTTTAACGGGTATCGAGGGGTCTTGTCTTTTTTATGTTATCTGACTAAAAACTATTCATACTTTGATCTATTATTATTACAGTATTTATTAAAAAAAATGTAGAGTGCCTTTAAAATAATGATCACAACACTGTTAAAAAAGGCGTATATTGATTTTCTCATCCTCTGAATCATACTTATCAGTCCTTTTTTATTATTATCATTATCATGTGATAAAAATGAATAAATTCAGAACAGGATTAGAATAGAATTCTATTTTAAATATGACAGAAATATTTTTTTCTACAACAGTAACAGTAGTGTTTACAACAGCAAAACCACTATACCCTGTAAACTCAACAATAATCATATAATATAACAACAATAATAATAATATCAATAATACAATTTAGTTTCTAATTCCAAAGTTATTAAGAGGTGCAAAGAAAAAACTCTTTAAATTTTAACCTTAAAATGGTCTTTTCTATTCTGTGCTTCTTTTTCAAAACTGCGTCACGGCATTTGCTGCTGTATCAATACAGAACCATCCCTATCGATACGCATATCAGCAAAGAATGTTGTCACAGTATTGTGTGTTCCATGTGCCCCTTTTATACTTCGAGCACCTGCCCCTCCAAAGGTCTCTGCACGGCGCTGCATGCATGGTTCAGGGGTGGAGTAAGTCAGAGGATTTTGCAGAAAGGAAAAGACTTAAACGCATCCTCATTTTGCTAGACTTTCACCTTTATCGGTGTGGGGAAGTTTTCTCTGAATTCTGTGAAGATTTTTTGATGTTTATTTGTGTGAGAACAGTTTCATGTCCCCTTCTTCAGGTTTATGATTGTGAGATTGATTCTGAATGTTGTAAGCATGTCTGTATTTGACTGAACTTAGCAACTCAGGTAAGGGAGGGTGTGAGAAAGGGTGCGGCCCCCCCAAAGAATGTGCCAGCGCAACTGAGAGACATACGCCACGCCTAGGACACGTTCATTCCTCATACACACATTCACACCACCAGCATACTTTTCTTCTTTTCTTCTGTGTACATAACCTTCCCTACATTCACTTGAGGTCACACAAATCACATAACAAAAAAAACATTACTTGTACCACAAATATGGCGTATGCAAATTTCCAAGCTATCCATTGAACACTCTCACACTCATTCACACTCAACATTCAGCTATATCAAAATACTTTATTCATTTTCAGTTTTCCAGTTTCACTTGACTGTGATAGGTGTGATATGTTTCCAGCAGTGTAAATTTTGTCCCATAAAAAATTGTATGTATTTATTTTTTTATAATTTAACACTCATGTTATCTTCCAGTCATTTTGACCTGGAGAGGTCAAACCTTGAGGTTTTCCCTCAAAGTGCTAGTTTATGTTTTCAAATTAGACTAAAACTTACAGTACAGACTTTGTTCACACAAGGTATCACACAGCTTACCCAAAAAAGAAAAATGTTTGTACTTTTTTGGGTCTTTTTCCCACCTTGTTACACTTGTGGTGTTCCTGGTCAAAAATACTCGGTCTACAATATATTGCTTGTAAATTTCTCATTATACTATATTACCAAATATATACTACCAAATATCAGATTCAATCTTTTTATCTATTTGTTTTCTGTCATTTAGCGCAAGTTTTTTTAATATCTTATTGGAACTGATTGATCGTAGGCACTGATCTATATATATGACTATATATATATTGTAGATCAGTGATCGTAGGCCTGATCTGAGATTATCAACAATTTTTGTGAACATTGCGAAAATTATCCACAAATGATACAAATGACTTTTTTTGACCATTCAAAAACTGGGGTGCATGAGGTCAGATCAATAAGGCATACGACCAATCAGTTCCAAAAAGAAATACAAAACCTGTGGTAATTGAAAGAAAACAGTTGACAAAAAGATTGAATCCAAGAGTTTGTGAAAATATAATAGTATAATGAGAGGCCTGACATTTTTGACCAAAATTAGGTAAAGGATTTTCAGCACAGCACAAGAGTTACAAAACCTTAAAATCTAAAATAAGACATTCCGCATGATTGTGGCTCTAAAGCTAAAGGGCCTTTTACTATTACGACAAACAAAGGTCCACCTCTCAGCCAAAGGATTTTATTAGGAGTAGTCAAGCTAGAATATGTTGAAAGACTGTTTGAGATAATTTTTCTACAAACTCTATCTTGTTTTATTACCTAAACAAGTTTTAGCATGCCAGCATGATCTACATCCATCCATTTGCTGAAGAGTGATCTTTAAAACAGTGCTCTGTTTTTTCGAAACAAGATGTCCTTTTGCGTTCTGGCAGTCCCTCCCACAATTCCCCTCTCTTGCTGTAATATCACACCTGTGTATCATGTGACACAAGGCACCTCTCTGTTGCACTTGAACACATACAGATGCTCATAAAAAAACTTTCATTATTCAAAGTAGTAATGCATATAGTCTAAACTGAAGCTTTCACTATATTTTACTCACATGTGCATTTGTAATCACCACCACGTTTCATTTTTTTTGTACATAATTTGTCAGTCGCGTGTATCACACTTATTATTATATGAATAAATGTTTAATGTGTCCATTTGATATATTTGTCTTGTTCATGTTTTTAATTATTGTTTGAGTGTGTGGCACATTGTTGTTACATTACTGATAAGTTCAGGTGGTGTGTGATGTGAGGGTGAAACCCGTAAAGTAGCATATTTTCACATTAAATGTCAAGTCCCTGAAGCTACAGAGCCGCTTACAGTTGAATGTCTCCGTTCCTCCAGTAAGGATGTACACCTCCGCCTGTGTCGTGTTGAATAGTACTTTATTACCTCATCCACCAGTACGTGTCCACCACCCAACCCAAGCACAAAGACAAACAAATCAGCCAAACCAGTCTGCTATCTTGAAAAGCTGTATGCGCCTAAATTCCATACATGATTCAGAAATGGTTGGACACCAAATTTAAGAGCATTAATGGTTATTACTGGACACTTGCATGTTTCAGTATGGGATAATTAAGACTCATATAAAATTATTTACCATAAGTCTCCAAGTTAACCATGTGTGGTGTCCCTGCTATATACATGTGATATATAGTCTGGCATGAACGGCTCGAATAGTTCCTGTATCAAAGGAAGGCCCGCCTTCTGAAATACGAAATGTGCTGTGATTGGTTTTGCTGGGCCAGTGTGTGCAGTGATTGGTTAGCTGGGCCAGTGTGTGTTGTGATTGGTTAGCTGGGCCAGTGTGTGCTGGGATTGGTTAGCTGGGCCAGTGTGTGTTGTGATTGGTTAGCTGGGCCAGTGTGTGCTGGGATTGGTTAGCTGGGCCAGTGTGTGTTGTGATTGGTTAGCTGGGCCAGTGTGTGCTGGGATTGGTTAGCTGGGCCAGTGTGTGTTGTGATTGGTTAGCTGGGCCAGTGTGTGCTGGGATTGGTTAGCTGGGCCAGTGTGTGTTGTGATTGGTTAGCTGGGCCAGTGTGTGCTGGGATTGGTTAGCTGGGCCAGTGTGTGTTGTGATTGGTTAGCTGGGCCAGTGTGTGCTGGGATTGGTTAGCTGGGCCAGTGTGTGTTGTGATTGGCAGCACTCGGCGCCTGGTCGGGAAATGTCACGCCCCTTACCATAGCTGCCTGCAAGCTTCAGTGTAAATATTGCAAAATCAAATCAATTTGAGCACGATTTAAACCCAGATGACTGTAACCACTCTAAGTTCGTCTGCCTTGGGAAAGCTAGCGTGTCTCCGACATAGTGATAACACTCGTTGCCTTCTCTAG